TATGCCACTACACCCGTACTGCAAATCTGCATTCATAGTTCATACGATTGAGCATCTCATGGTTTAAATTAACACCTATGGCTACAAAAACAGAATATTTTCATGTCAACACAATGACATTGTATTGAATTTTAAACTATTTCAGCCATTAATTTTTGTGCCTATATATACAACTAACTACAAATTGCATATATTGAATGGAAATATATTTCATTCTAGATTTGTTTTACTTCTTAATTTTTTCCAACTATTGTAGGATTATAGGGGATGTTTTATATGTAATGCAAGCCAGCCTAGATACTGGCTTACTAAATTCACTAAGGGTCTGTTTATATGGAAGCCGGGCTGGCCCGCTAAGCGAGACAGCCCGGTAAGCGAGATCTCGCTGTGTAGTTATTTTTATAGTAAAAATTATTGTGCGTTTATATGGACTCGCTTGAAAGAGGTGAGATCTTTCAGTGGAGGAAATTTCTCCATATAAACACTCACAAGCAGGCTAGGCTGGTTGCCGTGATGAAAGTTCAAAAATACCGCAGCAAGCTATTTTTAACAACTGTCAAAACAATACAATGTAACAAAATTGTCCCGGCAAGCGGGATGAAATTTTCGGCATGTACTAAAAGGCGAAACGTCGAAACGAAACGACCGAAACGAAACGGCCGAAACCATCGAAACCACCGAAACGACCGAAACGAAACGACCGAAACAAAACAACCGAAACGAAACGACCGAAACGAAACGGCCGAAAATGTAAATTACAGGAAAATTGAAAAATGCGGATACGGACGGACGGGGGGGACAGGCGGATGGACGGGGGAGACAGGCGGATGGACGGGGGAAGAGGCGGATGGACGGGGGGACAGGCGGATGGACGGGGGGGACGGCTTCATTTGACACGAAACTCAATTTTAAAATCAAATCCGCGTTTTGTTGAAAGGGATATATTAGGACATATTATAAAAGACTATTATTAATCGTAATAAATTGTCCGCGAAAAGTTGATAAAATACATGTGGAAATGCGGGGTTTTTCGACCCTTCGTAACGCTTGATATGAGGATAAAACGCGGATATGCTGCAACTTTCATGCTTAATATTCTCAGTCATCTGGGTATGTAGTAATCTAATTTTATGCAATGTAATCAGGGACGCCGGAACGATAATAGGGCAAAGGGGGGCGGACGCACACCAAGGGCACCTTTACTGAAATTTTTTTTTTCGGTCAGTGTACCATTTTAGGGGTCAAAAAATTTTTCCGGACATACTAAAATTTTCCGTGAAGCCAAAAATTTTTCCGGATATCTTAAATTTTCACCATTTCTTCAAACTATTTTTCTAAATTCCAAAAATTTCCCCAAAATTTTTATAAATATAAACTATAAATTACCTGAATCTCGTGATTTTCCTACAAAAAGCATCGTTGGAAATGTGATTTATCACGTATTATTTTACAACTAAAAGGGCACTTCTGCCCCCCCCTGCCCCCCTAGCAAAAGGCAAGGGGGCAGCCGCCCCCCCCCCTGCCCCCCCAGTTCCGGCGTCCCTGAATGTAATGTGCTATTTTTTCAAGCGCTTTTCAATGCAGTTATCGGTTTAAATATAACTCAAATTCCCGTTAAGATATGACAATTGCCGTACGGCCTACTTTTACGCAAACGCAAATTACAACTGCAAATTTCATGCTTAATTTTCTCTGTTATCTGCGCATGTAGTAATGTAATTTTATGCCAATGCAAGGTGCTATTTTTCAAGGGCTTTTCAATGCAGTTATCGGTTTAAATATAACTCAAATTCCCGTTAAGATATGACAATTGCCGTACGGACTACTTTTACGCAAACGCAAATTACAACTGCAAATTTCATCAGCACATCACATTGGCATAAAAGTGAAAGTAGGCCGTACGGCAATGGTCATATCTCTTAACGGGAATTTTAGGTATATTTAAACCGATAACTGCATTGAAAAGCCCTTGAAAATATAACACATTACATTGCATAAAATTAGATTACTACATACCCAGATGACTGAGAAAATTAAGCATGAAAGTTGCAGCATATCCGCGTTTTATCCTTATATCAAGCGTTACGAAGGTTCGAAAAACCCCGCATTTCCACATGTATTTTATCAACTTTTCGCGGAAAATTTACTACGATTAATAATAGTCTTTTATAATATATCCTAATATATCCCTTTCAACAAAACGTGGATTTGATTTTAAAATTGAGTTTCGTGTCAAATGAAGCCGTCCCCCCGTCCATCCGCCTGTCCCCCCCGTCCATCCGCCTCTTCCCCCGTCCATCCGCCTCTTCCCCCGTCCATCCGCCTGTTCCCCCCGTCCGTCCGTCCGTATCCGCATTTTTCAATTTTCCTGTAATTTACATTTTCGGTCGTTTCGTTTCGGTTGTTTCGTTTCGGTCGTTTCGTTTCGGTGGTTTCGGCCGTTTCGTTTCGGCCGTTTCGTTTCGACGTTTCGCCTTTTAGTACATGCCGAAATTTTCTCATATAAACATGAGAGAAATTCATCCCGCTTACCGGGCTGTCTTGCTAAGCGGGCCAGCCCGGCTTCCATATAAACAGGCCGTAAGGCAAATTTTGCTTATTGTACAACCATCCAGTATGAGCATTCCAGTATTTATAATGAAACAATCCATAATTGATATTTGACAAATCAACCATTTGCCTATAACTACATGAATGTGGCAACACTATTATTCTGTTCTTTATAACTTAATTGCTTGGACAAAAATCTACGAAAAGAGTAAATTTAGTGCCCCACAATCCCTAGCTACCAGTGGTTCTGCATCATCAGTTCACAATTTTACTTTTAAGTCCACAACAGGTGGGTTTCACTTAAAATTATCCCTTTCAAAGCATTGTAATACTTTATGAAATACAAAATTTCTGTATTAACCCTTTAATTATAAGTGACAATATATGTACCCAGATGTACCTTACTTTATATTTTACTCTGCCTAACGCCAGACGATTTTACAATGGTATCATGCAATTAAGCCTGGAACAAATGGTCAGTTATAAATACCTATCTTGATCACTCAAATATCAATGGCTTGATTAATTGCAACTTAATTATGATATTGCATGATATTTAATTCAGTATAAAAACCTAAAACTTATATGTTAGAGATATTAACTTGGTATGGGCTTACCACTATAGTGCAGGTATTTTTTTGGACACTAATTAATGCCATTAATATACTGCACGGATTTGTGTGTTGGCTGGCTGCATCTATTTATTAGTAAATAACAATATTGCACGCTGTTTCCAAGCAGCATATCTTGATATCTGTTTTGTGTCAAGATTTTGTGTGTTATAAATATTACATGTAAATCGACTATGAAATATTCTAGCAGTATTGTATTAAGTATATAAACTATATTTTTATCAACATACCATGCGAGGTGAACAAAATCCGCATTAAAATCACTTCAAATTATTGTACAACTGAACAAGTCACACGACAAGAGAAACAATATTATTTGCTTGATTGTATTTAAAAATAAATAATCCATATTTTCACGACATTTTAGAGAAATACCAGAATTAGTGCAGAAAATTTCCAATTCGTTATATTATAAATTCGTCCGTTTGTTTATATTCGCATAAATGATATATTATTTAATTACTATTTTTCATATTTCACGCTGACAATACGTCAGACTCCGTGTTTTCCATATTTTTCTCTGACGTCAGACTCCGTGTTTTCCATATTTTATGGTGGACTCCGTGTTTTCCATATGACTCCGTGTTTTCCATATTTTTCTCTGACGTCAGACTCCGTGTTTTCCATATGACTCCGTGTTTTCCATATTTTTATGACGTCAGACTCCGTGTTTTCCATATAACTCCGTGTTTTCCATATTTTTATGACGTCAGACTCCGGGACTCCGACTCCGGGACTCCGGGGCTCCGGGACTCCGGGGCTCCGGGACTCCGGAACTCCGACTCCGTGTTTTCCATCTAACCGAATTTGAAGGGGGTCGGGAATTTGAATTTTTCTTTTAAACACGTGTGCAGAATCCAAAATGGCGTCAATGATTAATGGATGAGTTCAACTGTTCAAGGTCTTCAAGTGCAAAGGAATTAACTTTGTCCTTGGTTGGGCTACATGAAAACGGCTTTGAACGATTGAAGAGAGTTTTTGAAGGAAAGAAAAACTTTGAAATTCCAAAATCGCGTAATGCTGTAGCTTCCAATTCGTACATGGGGTGGGGTATTTGAACTCCAATTTTTCCCAATACGTGGTGTATTTGAACGGGAATTACAAATATATGTAGGGAATTTGACCTGACCAAAACGTCAAAATCCAAATTCCCGGGGTATGCCCGGGGGGGGATGTCAAGGTTTCGATTTGATTCGCGCATAAGATTTACTAAATGAGAAAATTTTTGCTACGAAAAACATTTCTCTTCGGTGCCACCCCCCGCCATAAATAATGACCGGTCCCTAAGTGGTATTGAAAAAAACGAAGTGCATACGGACAGTAATACGCCAGTATGTCTGGTCGCTATATTGACGTTATATACAATTCCCTGTTGTTTTCACTGAGAATTCTGTAGTACCAAGCGTCACAGAAATCACGGAATCCCTTGCGCTGCTGTTAACTTAAGTGAAGTGACTTCAACAGTAGCGAAACGTATTTCTTTGTTTCCTGAGCAGCAAGGTGGAACTAATGTCTTTGACACAAAATGAAATGCTACGATACGGTTGGAGTGGAAAACGGTCTTATATTACGTACCTAAGTGGTATTGAAAAAAACGAAGTGCATACGGACAGTAATACGCCAGTATGTCTGGTCGCTATATTGACGTTATATACAATTTCCTGTTGTTTTCACTGAGAATTCTGTAGTACCAAGCGTCACAGAAATCACGGAATCCCGCAAACTAGTAATATATCAACATTGGGTGGGGGAGGGCAGCGTTTTTGAACTTTGTCTAGTTGTTTTACTTCGACACAAAACAAACACATACAATCATACCTGTGTATCTGTAACCATGGATAAAACCACCGGCAGATTTTTTCCAGTCCAGAGAATGTGCTGTTGTTCCAGCTACAACGAAATGTTACAACATGAGCTGCCAGTTTAACTTTAACTTTAAAAACTCATTTGCAACTCACCAAACCACAGTCTTGGAACATTGTGACTTTGAAAATCTGGCGTGATGAGTGGATATTTACTCCTCTTTCCCGGGCATTTCTCGGGCATGACCGTCCCGTTGAATATCGAGAAATCAAACTGAAATACAATTAACAGTCTTGTGAATAACCTAGACTACTATCAGTTCTCAATTGCTTTTCCTAAAGATTCAGTAAGAGCCATCCGGACCTCTAGGACTAGGAAGAACAGTTTAGAGCTGATAGAGTTATCCAGTATAAATAAAGTTAGTTTAGTTTAGGTTTCCTCATGCAGTAACACTGGATCAATAAGAGATGATCCTTACTGGACCTCTATATATAGGGAGGACAGTTTAGAACTGATAGAGCTATCCAGAAGAAATAAAGTTAGTTTAGTTTAGTTTAGGTTTCCTCCTGTAGTAACACTGGATCAATAAGAGATGATCCTTACTGGACCTCTAGGAAGAACAGTTTAGAACTGATCGAGATATCCAGCATAAATACAGTTAGTTTAGTTTAGGTTTCCTTCTGCAGTAACACTGGATCAATAAGAGTAAGAGACCTCTTACTGGTATCCAGTATTACTACAGGAAGAACCGAAGCACACAAAGAAAACCGGCAGGAACACTTGTCCTTACCTTAAAACCAAGACATCTTATAATTTTATCATAAGGATCTCGTAAAGAATAGTTGTCAGCTAAAAACAAATAAGAATATTCATGACAAGGGACCGGTATTTCGGTATTTTCATTTCACAGTTACACTGCTCATCACTAATTATCGTATTTGAAATGGGAAAATTCTTATCATAAAGCAGAAATATTTCACAAAAAAAATAAACTTTTAACTTACGAGCAACGCCAGTCTTATTCAAAATCCTTCCTTCTGAATCATAAAAATCCACGTACAGTTTTCCTTCGTGTTTGACGATACTGACTTGTGAAAATGCCTTTTCTGCGTGGAGAATGATAATAAAATCAATGTTGTAGGTGCTGCCGTTATGACGTAAAAAGGTTGAATATAATTTCTTTTTGTGATACCTAAGAATCCGTCTTGAGATTTCAGCTGATAATTGTCCAATATACGGTTATTGACAGCCCTGAGAAATATATATATAAAATTCATAAACTACGAAACTACGGAGATGTAACAGTCGTTGGCATTTGACAATCAGCTATCGATGAAGTATATGAAGTATATGAAGAAATAATCAAATTTCAGCTGGTTCAAATTTTGATCAACTCTCATGCAAACTCTCGCTTCTCAACTCTCATCAACTCTCATTTGCGCAACTCTTGTTCTCGTTTGACCGCGGCATGAAAGTTGAGAAAACTCTCTCACACAAACTCTCGCTTCTCAACTCTCATCAATTCTCATGCAATTCTTGTTCTCGTTTGACCGGGGCATGAGAGTTGAGAAAACTCTCATACAAACTCTCGCTTCTCAACTCTCATCAATTCTCATGCAATTCTTGTTCTCGTTTGACCGGGGCATGAGAGTTGAGAAAACCCTCATGCAAACTCTCGCTTCTCAACTCTCATCAACTCTCATGCAACTCTTGTTCTCGTTTGACCGGGGCACGAGAGTTGAGAAAACTCTCATGCAAACTCTCGCTGCTCAACTCTTCTCAACTCTCATCAACTCTCATGCAACTCTTGTTCTCGTTGACCGGGGCACGAGAGTTGAGAAAACTCTCATGCAAACTCTCGCTTCTCAACTCTGATACATTTCTACACCATAATGACATTCGTCTTACCTTACATCCCCAACATAGTGAGTTGACCACGCTAGACGTACTCTTGATCTAAAGGAAAATGAGATCGAGGGTAAGATTTATAGAAATCTATATTCCTCTAATTTTGTTCAACTAAATTGCTCTGCTCACCTTCCCATAATGTGAACAAGATTTGTCGACTCAATGATATTATCAGCAGTTTCGAATGCTGCATTTCCTATTAACCAAAGACACATTGTTAGTATTGTCCAGTAAAGTAGAATTGTCCAGTAAAGGTGATTCCTAATTAATCTAGTTTGAATGAGAAAGAAACTAAAGTGTACTTGGAGAAAACCAGTGGTGTTTGGTGAGTCAAACTGGAAGCACTCTTCTCACATCAAACAGATCCAACTGAGTGCAAATGATAATGAGATAACTGTATTTTACAGGAATTGAAGCCCAGTCATTAGAGATGAAAGACACATGTCCCAACCACATCACAGCTGTTGTAAACAAGATAAAAACCCACCTCCTCCTAATATCAAGACTGTTTGGCCTTCATAGTCATCTCTGTTCAACGACATTGTCCCGTAGCTCTAGTGAGAGTAAACGAAAATGAGAAATGGAAAAATAAAGAAATTAAGGAATGAAGAAAGAAAGAGAGCAAACGAAAGAAGGAAATGGTGGAAGGAAGAAAAAGAAACATAGAAACGAAGGAAGGAAATGGTGGAAGGGGAAAAGAATATCGAAAGAAAAGACAAAATGAAGAATAGCAGAATCTTAAACACAAATTTAAAAAATAACTGCACACCTCAGTATGTTCGATGCCTTTAATATCAGGAACATTTTCAATTGGAATTCCAGTACTAGAAAATTAACAAAAGAATCAGAGACTGAAAACAATCTGGAAGAGGGAATCTATTACTCATCCGTGGATAAGGCACAATGCCATTGAAAATTGGTGACGTTATTGATAAAAACGCAACTATTCAATGGGTGATTCCAGCTATAACCTAAATGTTGATCAAGGCAAGAAGAACGAAATCCAACACCACAGCTGGAAAAAGCGTCTTCGAATGAGTAAAACTGCAAAGATTGGTTGCTAAATGTTGTAAAATGAAGAAAATATAGCCCTGTGAAGTTCGCAAATTTTGTATATATTTGTATTACGAGCGGTAAAATAACCACTTTCGGCTCAAAAATGGTTATTTTTCCCACAAATATATACAAAATTTGCGAACTTCACAGGGCTATATTTTCCTCATTTTACAACCAAACGTTGCAATGTTACTCATTTTAAGATTCTCTTTCCAGCTATGGTAATGGATTTCGTTCTTCTTGCCTAGATCAAATTGGAATCATCAATTCATCCACCCTCACCTGACAATCAGATCGTTACATGTATACCAATTGCCATGCTGATCTTCAAGTAGAAATGAATTATTCACCAACTGCTTGGAGATACTTTTAATTTCAGTATTGTACGATATTTTGAGCTTCAACTTGTTTGCAAAATCATTGAGGTATTTGACCTGTGGAGAGAGATAAGTATATTTCCATTGATTAGACGTACTATACTTCCTTTTTATTAATGAGGTCCATAACATTGTTTTGTCATTCTGATAACTGCAGGTTGACCAAGGGACGTAGCGGGGCATCTGAAGTTGGGGGGGGGGGTCGGAGGATTTTACCTGAAATTTGAACTTCAATGTTAAACATTTACCTGAAGTGCAATAATTATAATAGAGCTTTTTCTGATTGATTTCCACTGTCATACTAAGTTTCCGAAGAAAGGGGGGTCTGGGGGTCATCCTGTGATCCCATGTGACCCTGCAATTCCGGTGCAGCGCTCTAACCAACTGAGTGTTAATTGGCGCATGTTGAATGGTTACATGGTAAAGTTTGTTGTTTGTACTTACCAGAATACCAGCCTTAGGGTAGAGTCTGTTACTGTATCTTGTCATACGAAGTGTTTCGTCATCACTCAACAGAGAGTTCCAGTCATGTCTTAAATTGAATTCTTTATTTGTTTTACCTAAATAAACAGCAACACGTTACAAACAGCAGCAACAACAGCAAAGACAACGACAACATTATCAACAACAATAACGTCATCAACGACAACAGCAACGACGACAACAACAACAGCAACAACAACAACAACAACGACAACAACGACAGCAACAACGACAGCAACAACAGCAACAGCAACAACAACAACAACAGCAGCAACAATAGCAACAACAACAACAACAACAACAACAACAACAACAACAACAACAACAACAACAACAACAACAACAACAACAACAACAACGACGACGACGACAACGGCAACAACGACAGCAACAACGACGACGACGACAGCAACAACAACAACAGCAACAATAACAACAACAACGACGACGACGACGACGGCAACAACGACAGGAACGACAGCAACAACAGCAACAACAACAACAGCAACAATAACAACAACAACGACGACGACGGCAACAACGACAGCAACAACAGCAACAACAACGACGACGACGACAACAGCAACAACAACAACAGCAACAGCAGCAACAACAGCAACAGCAACAACAACAACAAAAAACGACAACAACAACATTCTAACCTGTATGTCTTTTATTTATGGAAATCAAGCCTCGATGACGAGGATAAAACTTGTAAAAGGAACCTAAAGAAAAAACAGAATTTTCAAACAACTGGAATTTATTTTTACTTATTTATTTATTTACGAGCTTTGTCATACATCATAAGTCCCTACAGGGCTTATTGCCTCATTCACAGGGTCCCCCGTACGAAAAGTTACAGCCTGGCTGAGCGAGATTCTGGCCAGTATCTGGCCATAAACTAATTAAAGCAGCGGTAATTGAGCGAGACACAACCAGACATTGGTTTTGTCTCGCTGCCTGTTACGAACGAGACATTTGTATCGCTTGTTTATGGCCGAGAATTTGGCCTGAATGAGCATGACATCGCAAGACAAATTGTCTCGCTTAAACGAGACAATTGTCACGCTGCTTTTACAGCGAAACATGGACGATAATATAGCGAGGCAGAGCGAGACAAGCAACAGAAATTCCTTTGCGTGCCATGAAAATGTGAGATTATTATCATATCCGGCGAAAATTGAAAGAAACTGAGCACGACAAGAGCGTTTACGTTAAAAATTTAATTTGTTTTGTCTCGGATGACAAGGCGCGCAATTTGAGTTGGTTTTATTTTGCTGTACACACGCATCGCTTTCAAGCAGCAAACCATACACGGTCGGTCGAACAAGGGAAAAGTTGCGGATTTTCAACAATGATCATCGTTATATATTGCACTGTATTCTCGGTAATTCTTCAGCCAGGCGACGTTGAAGTCAAATGATAGTGTCCCTCGCAAAGTTTCTGTGCGACTTTGAGATTCAAGGCGTTGGCAATATATGCATTGGAGACAGTCTTCAAGTTTCTTCTAAATGTAAGTAATTAATCTCAACGTTTACGTACCTGTTCTGTACAGTTTTGCGCGTGATACCGCAATACATAATTTACTTTAAATGTAATTATTAAGGCCCACACAGACCGAACGCGATTCGACAACGCGACGCGAATTTTCAGATTTTAAAAACAAATAAAACCGTCAACGGATAAAAATTTTACAAGATATGCAGACCAAATAGCTAAAATTGCTTAAGTGGTTAAGAATATTTGAAAAGCATGGAAAAATAGTAAAGGTAAATGTCATTGAAAATTCGCGTTGCCGAATCGCGTCCGGTCTGTTTGGACCTTTACACTTTCAAAACCATGCATTGCGAACAATCTTTAAATAGTACATAAAAACTTTAGATGTTTATACGTTTTAACAGAAATTTGCTGGAATAGAAAGGCCTACAAAATATTCAAGGCCGAAATTAAAATCCGATTTTCATATTTGTCATATATAATGCAATGGCGAAATTAAGTCTGAAACCGCGGCCCGAATAGTGACTTAGGCCTAGCTTTCAACCCTGTTGTCTTTAATATTTTAGCTGCCGCTTGCGGACAAATTGACCGTTTACATGAGTCGCTCGCGACGTCCATCTCAAACCCGCAGCTTATTTTCGCCCATATAAATGCCCCTAATGTCAAGGTAGATTAGTTAAAACAAGTCGATAAGGCTTTTAGTATAAGCAAAAGCTCGTTGCAATAGCGTGAGGCTACTACTAAAAAGCGATACAGCGATACAACGATACAGCGATACAGGAACCGGAACCTGGAACCGGAACCTGGAACCGAGCATAATTTATGCAAATTAGAGCATCTTGCACCACAGGAGATATACATGATAATAATTTACAGGGGGGGGGGACGCAATTCAAAGATAGTACAATATATTACAAGTGAAGCATTTTGATTTTCTAAACGAAAAGAATGAACATCATTGTAACACTATATTACAAAGTAAAACATGTTTCGTAATTGCGCGGCGATTCTTTTTGTCTGGTTTGATACAACTGCATGTGACACACTGGTTTATTTAGTTGCCGCACTTGAAATGCCAGCAGACAGAGAAAGAAACCAAGGCACGCAAAGCAGATTGCGCTTAATTCAACAGTAATTGTGCTCTAAAGTATATTTATTAGAGTGTACTCAGTGTATAGTGTAGTATATGATGCAATCCTCTAAATGTGCTATATACGCTGCGAATATTGCGAATATACTGCATACTAAAAATATCCGCTTAAATATCAATTACAAATTATGAAGGTAACTTCAATATTATGTCAAAAATACATTTAATTAATAATGAAAAATTAAAATGTGTGGTTGAAATTCAGCGTCGAAAACAAATAGGGATGTTAGGATGTACAATGCAACTTCAATGGACAATGCCGATAATATGTTGAATGGCCCCCATGGCCATGTCGAAGTTTAGTTGCTTTAACAGCTTCTATTTCAGATTTTACTTTAATGTCGGAAACGGTACTTGATATCTGATATATTTAAACCCAGATAATACAAAAATGTGACAAAAAGTTTATCCAGTTAGTTGTGAGTAGCCTGTTACATAAAGTGGTGTACACATTATACGTATTCAGTGTTGAAGGCATAACAACCATATAGAGTCTTTTTATTATATTTTGTTATACTTATTGCCTTCAGTTGGAAATTATATATATATAATCAGTTTTTGATGAATCATGTTCAGCAAGACTAAGAGATCATACGCAGAAGTTGCTAACGGAGTTGAAAGGTTATACTAAAACTAAAATGCGTCGGTATATAATTGTATAAATGAATATTTAGTTCATGTTTTTCCCTTCATAATTCACCCTTTGCGATGTTAATAGACCAGGAAAGGGGAAAACCTGACTCGACTCAGAGTTATAATTAGGGTGAGAGACACGGTAAGTTAATTTTGACGCTGAATTTCAATCAGACATTTCCATTTTTCATTAGTAAATGTAATAAATTAAAATTGATTAATTTAATTAAATGACATTGAAGTTACGACATGCAACTTCATTTATGTTTGTGATTGATGTTCCTGTGACGCAGGCTATAGATGTTCAAGCACTGAGATATTTTTAGTTTGCAGCATATATTCGCAATATTGCAGCGTATATAGCACATTCAATGTTGGATTGCATCATACAACTACACTCAAATTTAATACTTTAGAGCACAATTGCTGCTGAATTCAGCGCAATCTGCTTTGTGTGCCGTGGTTTCTTTCTTTGTCTGCTGGCATTTCATAGTCAAGTGCGGCGGCTAAATAAACTAAGTGCGTCACATGCAGTTATATCAAAACAGACAAAAAGAGTCGCCGCGCAATTACGAAACATGTTTTACTTTGTAATATAGTGTTACAACGATGTTCATTCCTTTTGTTTAGAAAATCAAAATGCTTCACTTGTAATATATTGTACTATCTTTGAATTGCGTCCCCCCCCCCCTGTAAATTATTATCATATATATCTGATGTGGTGCAAAATGCTCTAATTTGCATAAATTATGCACGGTTCCAGGTTCCGGTTCCAGGTTCCGGTTCCTGTATCGCTGTATCGTTGTATCGCTGTATCGCTTTTTAGTAGTCTATAGTCATTAGGTCAATTTATCTGAAGAGTGCCACATTTTGTGGTACGAAACTATTTAGTAATAAAAATGCCTAGTGGATTTTGTTGATTGTTGCACCTTAATTTATATATATATATATATATATATATATATATATATATATATATATATATATATATATATATATATATATATATATATATATATATATATATATATATATATATATCTTCTACACCGACTGATCGATCAAACGATACCAAATGAACGATATGGTTGTTTATCGTTGAAGTGTATCCTTGTCCGATTTTCAAAATGAAAGATTTATTTTATAACGGGATCCTTTGATTTCCCAAACATCGCCAACTGTGTGTAAACAATAGTGCTATCTTGACTGTGAAAGCACAGGATTACAACCATTATGTACTGTAAAATTCCTTTCATTTACATTGCTGAAACTCAACGATCAAGAATGATTCTGTCGAAGACTTGAAGAAAAGCTATCTGTTATCACACGAACGCCAAGACTCCTCGGTGCGTTTCCGTGCGTGCGGTACAACTTCAATATTTAGGACGATATTCGCACCAGCCACTGGTATTGTACTTTATAGTAAATTATTTCATATTTCATGTATTACAGTAATTTACAGCAATGTTACCCTGGGTTTATTTCCATGAAAATACACGATTCTATTTACGATTTTATACAAACAAAACACTTTTATTCATCAAATATGAAAAGAACCATGCTCTCTTAACAGTTTTCTCTCGTATGGCCTTATGGGCCACATTTGGCACAGGGTACCCTAATTATTACCCAGGTTACACTCTCCCCTACTTTAAAAGTTCATCACACATGATGCTTAATTACATGCAACTAAAATGTTCAGAGGCTTAAGCTCCTAGTGTTACATTACATCACTGTCCTTTACATAGTCAGTAGGTTGATCAGGCCTACTCACACTAACATATTTTCCAAACTATGCATTTTCTTCGCCGTACAATGCATTCAACATTCTTACGTATCCGCACAAGCTTTCTACAATTGTAGCGGTAGCCCCCCCCCCAGTTTTTTGGGCAGTCGGGCAATATTCGATTAACAGTCGGGCAATTTTGGTGTGTTATAAAAATAAATGGGACAAATTCTGTCAATTTTGTCGAAAATTTTGTCAATTTTGTGGCAAATGTATTTTTTTGGGAAAATTTGTATGATGGTACGAAAAATTTTGGTATGTCCGGAAAAATATTTTGACCCCTAAATTGGTACACTGACCGAAATTTTTTTGCCGCCCCCTAAATTTTTCCTTCCGGTACGCCCATGTTCTCCACCTTGGTCATAGACATTCACCAGATCAGGACCTTCGTTAGGAATTTCTCCATTAATCTCTACATCAGGTACTACGACTGGTTCTGGTCTCTGGGCTGATCTGTATTCTTCGAAGTGTATATCTGAGTAGCCATCTTCGTCCGTGTCGGATTCTCGTGTTTCATTCATTGCTTCATCAGTAGCGTGAGATGTTTTGACAGGTCGCTCTTTCCGATTTCTACTATTCCTTTTGTTCCCTGTGGCCTGTGTTTGCTGATTGTTGCTCCAAAAAGTGACAGGGTAGAAGCAGGTTTCTATGAAGAACACGTACTCTTCCTTCTGCTCCTTCCGATTTTACTTTGTACACTGGGCTATCTTGACCTTTCCGTTCGACGACAATGTGTATCTTGTCTTCCCAGTAAGCTCTAAGTTTTGCTGGTCCCCCACGTTCGCTCAAGTTACGAACCAGAACTCGATCACCTGGATTAAGTGCCGAATTATGTGCTCTCTTTCGCTCTCTCTCTCCTCTTGTGTGAAGTTGATGCCCCGTTCTGTTTCTAACGATCTCGTACGCATCTTTTATAGCCGTAGCCCACTGTTCCACATACTTTGGATAACTTACACTCTGCGATAGATGACACAGTCCAAATATCTGATCAATAGGTAGTCTTGGTGCTCTACCAAACAATAGGAAGAATGGTGCGAATCCTGTTGCATCGTTCCTCGTACAGTTATACGCATGTACGACTTTGTTTAGATTGTCTGCCCAATTCGACTTCTTTTCTTCTGGCAGGGTTCTGAGCATGGCAAGCAAGGTCTGGTTGAATCGTTCGGCTTGTAATTGTTATCAACTTTCAGTTCTCTAACTGACATACACAGTACTTTATGTTCTTTCCAGTGCTGTTTCTGGCACTCTTTTGAACAATATCGTACTAATTGACAACCAGAACATCTTGAAAAGGGGTTTCCATACTCTTCAGTTTTTAAACATTTAGCACACAAAATGGGACTTACTTGATTTACTGCATGGCTACTTCCTGTCCCTCGGCTGCAGCCATCTTCCGTTTCCCGAATTCAGTCTCTTCTTACATCCTCTGGCAAAGTGGTCTGAACTACCACATCGAAAACAGTGGTCACAGTTTAGTTCTTTGGCTTCCTGACACTTTGTACATAATCTTCCCCCGGTCCCGCTTGGTTTTCCTTATACCCAGTTTCTTGCTCCTTGGCTTTAGCTTGTTAGTTTGTCAGAGTTTCCCTAAGCTCAGCAAGTTCTGCTTTTACTGTCTTTTACTGTCTTTTGCTTGGGTCCTTTCTTTTCTTTTACTACTTTGTTTAGAAGATCTTGCTCAATGGGTTTTTCAACATCAGCTGAACTGGACTTAACTGTTTGAACATTGTTGATTTTTCGTTGTTGTGCCTGACTTGCTTTACCGAATTTCTTTTGTCTCTCTGTTTCAGTTGATACAATTATGTTCATTTGTTCAATTAGCAATTCATCCGTTATATCTGGTTGTTGTAAGAATGGTCGTAACTTTGTTCTTACAGCTTCATGATGAAGTCCAGTCTCGAGCGAGTGTAAAAACAGTCCTTGAACAAGACTTTCATCATATTTGATCTTTACCCCTGCTTCTTTAGAGGCAAATAAAACCTTTTAACGTAGGTTTAGAGCTCTTATCAAGAAACTCTGTGGACTCTCTTCATGTGATTGTACAATTGTTGTTAATTGCTGGTAAAGTTCAGCTGCACTTTTCTCCTGAAAGTGTGATCTTAAAATAGCACGTAATTTTGGCAATGTCAGGTCACTAACTGTCTCGAGATAACTTCACAGCTGCATGCTAGGGATAATTGCTCTTATTACACCATCAATCACTTCTGTTTCTGAGTAACCCTTAGACGATGCACTTTCGATCTGTCTGACCAAGCTTACAAATGTGAGTTTATCCTTTTGACCGGGTTCCCCTGTTTGACCATTAATCTTGAATTCCCTACGTAATACACTTTTAAGATCATTTGTGGTTGGTTTACTTACACTTGTCGCTGTCGCCTTCAGTTCACTTTCTTCCATCTTACTTTGGAGGGCTTCGACTTGTTTTTGATGATCTTTTTCCAAGTTGTCTAGTTGCTGTTTTAAAACTTCAAGTTCCTTGTTTTCAATTTCCTTTGGAGGGGCTTCTTTATCAGTAATCTCAATCAACTGTCCTCGGATTTTCTCGAGAAATACACGGCATTGATTCTCATCTTCAATCTGGGCTACTTGCTCCTCAATTTCTCTTCGAAGTAGTCGAGTAATACTAAGTTTTGATTTTCCTTGATATTTCACCTCGTCCAATTTGAGAAACACTGCTAGTTTAATCAATATATCTTCGCTTACTTCGCACAGTATACCTTTTCCAATTTTAGCTGAAGCTCTTTCAAGTCCATTGCCATATTTAAACTTTAGCACAATCACAAAAATTATCCAAGATTCATAGCTACAGTACGATCTATTTCACGAATATTTATGTACACAAAACTTATCGTTTTTCCTTCATTTTCCCATCAAAATCGCGTATTTACTTGTAATTATATCCCACCGCGGCCACCAAATGTTATCCTGGGTTTACTTCCATGAAAATACACGATTCTATTTACGATTTTATACAAACAAAACACTTTTATTCATCAAATATGAAAAGAACCATGCTCTCTTAACAGTTGTCTCTCGTATGGCCTTATGGGCCACATTTGGCACAGGATGCCCTAATTATTATTCGGGTTACACAGATACATTATAAATCTTATAAAAAGACCTTTCACTGGCATTGCCATTGCCCATTCAGGGCTTTATTTGGAGAATAACCCGGCTTTAATAAAATACAGCTTCTTTCGACTTGTATAATGCCGCTGTGAGTCATCAATATTTAAATCAACTTTAATCTTTATCGTATACTGTAATGACATTTTAGAAGTTTCACAAAACGATGCTGGAGGCAAAAACCTATCTATCAATGGAAACTTTAAAAGGATTATTAAAACTCATTAAGTAATTCTATGAGCGAGACTTCGTGCGCATATACAATTTATGAATTATGTGTATATATCCCTGATAAAACGTAGGGACACTTTATACCAGATATAATAAAAAAATACTTTGCTAAACCTTTTTGGCTATCATTCCTTTATATTCAAGGAGCGAGAGCTAATGGCGATAGAATTCATATAGGAGATTTTGTGCAATTAATATTTTGACTTCAACAAACAGGTACTCGTGCAGACAAAAAATTAAGGAAATGCATACAGTTGTGAATTGTCGTATAATTCTGTACTGTCGATCCCAAACAATTTTGTACGTTAACACTCCTTCCTACTTGATATTTAATATAAACGATGATAACCTTTTTAAAAAAAATCTAAAGCACTATGTCAGTATGTCTATAAACAGTTTTAGAATCAATAGAATGGACATTCAATGTCTATTTGGCTAGTGTCCAAATGTGTAACGTTTGCTGCAAGACCAGCAAGGCGCTACGACCTACACAGTCGCTTTTGAGACCTCTATTTAACAAAATTTTACTGTTTCCATATGACAACAATTCAATGGCATGTTAGAAGAATATAGCAAGTATTTTGAAGTATATCTGATTCTCAAAGATGATTGTACAGAACGGCCACTCCTTGCAATCGAAGTGTGAAGTGCGTAAGTGGAAACATGTAATATGAGACTTTTCCATCCCCCTCTTAGGCTATCAATTTTCTATGGGTCACGTGACCAGCCTCGACCAGGGTCTTTCCTCAAAAAGAGAGAAGAGCCTGGGAACGAAGTTGAGATGCATGTTGCTGGTTGAATGAATGGAGGTATGGAATTAGATCTATACAACCTTGGACATAACTGGTTAAGACAACCTTTCTCTCCATCTCTATACCAAAATTCCATACCCCTCTTCCATGCTCAACACACTTAATTCAGTTGTACAACAGTTTGATATTTCTACTGAATCTTCGTATTTTTGCGTCGATGTGGAGCAGATATCGTGGGTGTTCAAACTGATGTCTTAGCCTATTGGTTTTTCTTTTAAATTACGCTGTTTCGGGTAACACATAGTTCACGCGCACAAAATTCACTTCGAATAGTTGGAAAAGGAGCACGGTCCATGACTCCCAAATTTTTTCATGCATTATTTCACTCAGAATATATAACGATATAGGCAAAATATAAAAGATCTGTAATACCATTTTCATTCAAAAACGCAAAAATGTCGTTTTCTTTAACATTTTTTTCATTACAGAATATTTTTGTAACGAAATATACATTTTGTATGCAGCGTGCAAATTTTGAAGCTAATATATATAGACCACAGCCCGAAATAGTGAAATATAGCGCGTTGTTTTTCAAAAATTGGATTTTTTAATGACATGAGCACAGACATACCGCACAATGGCGTGAGATGCATGCATGCATGCATGCATGGCGTGAGCAACTATATACATTTGCCACGTCAAGTCATATTATAGACTGAGTTCTTTCGATTGATATTTTGGCGCCGTTTGCAGTATTTAAGTGCGGAAGAAGAGGTGATGAAGTTTGGTTTGTCAATGTGTATTAACTTTGCTATTGCATGGCTAGCTTGTAGATACTCTAAACATATTATTTGCAATATGAAATTGGTCGAAGACCCGTACTCAGGAAATAAAATAACAACATAAAACGCTCACTGAGTTTATTATTTGCAAGTAATTTGAAATATTATCTTCACATATTGTCCTGTCTTTTCGAAACTGTGAGTAATTGACTAAGGTATATATTATCTTTTTGTCATCTGTTATATTTTACATAATTGTTTTTATACAATTCAAAAACAAAACTGCACGACATAATTTGCCAGCAACATCTAAATTTTTGCTTCAAAATTAATATACAATGACAATTTCCCCAAATTATATATATATATATATATATATATATATATATATATATATATATATATATATATATATATATATATATATATATATATATATATATATATATATATATATATATATACGAGTAGGTTTGTGATTTCGCTTACCTCAAAATTCTGCAACAGTCTGTTTCATCAGTAAAGAATTCGAATCATCAGGCGGTATCTTTTTGTTTACTGATGAAACAGACTGTTGCGGAATTTTGAGGTAAGCGAAATTCGATATATATATATATATATATATATATATATATATATATATATATATATATATATATATATATATATATATATATATAATAGCCTTCATGGCGATGATGATCAATATAACTGTTTTATTTTCTATAAATGCCAAATTATTTATTTCACAATTCAAAGCTTTCGATTCATAAGCCCGTGGATATTTATCTGCAGTGCAAATATTGCGCTTACAGTAGTTTTTGTCGGCTTACGAGCCTAAATAGCTCATGCAATGAGTGTGAAAAACTGCTCTTAAGCCCGTTCTCCACTAGGCGAATTTTTTCGCCCGACGCGAAGCGAAAAACAAATCTTGACAATGTGACTGATCAGCGAAAAAATTCACAGCGAAAAAGTTGGATCAGTTCCTACTTTTTTACTGTTCGCGCGAACAAATTCGCCTAGTGGAGAACGAGGATGGCTAAATGGCGTGGGTGCATGGGTAGGTCGTGCGTCGTGCGTCGTGCGTCGTGGGTACGGTGTTGAGCGTCGTATAGACAAAAAATATTTTTTAAGACGGATAGACGGCAGACGGACGGACGGATGGATGAGAGGGTAAAAAACGGACGGACAGGAGGGTAAAATGCGGACGGATGAGAGGGTAAAATGCGAACGGACGG